CTAATTTTATGTATGTCCACAAAAATAAGAATGACTTTTCAAGATTTAGTAATGTGCATGATGTAAATACTAGGAACAAGTATAAATTAGTTCTACACTCAACTAGATTGCGTAGAATAAGTAAATCTTTTATAGGATAATGTATACGCTTTTACAACAAAATCCCAGAAAACGTTCCGTTACTAAATTCAAAAAACTTGTAAAGGAACGTTTGTGTGTTAATGGCTATTATAGTATTAGTGATTATTTGAATGATAACACACTCTGGAAATGAATTGATCGCTCCAGGCTCTTTCAAGTGGAATTTAATAATTGTACACATATTTGTAAATATATATGGATATATCCAAACTAATATTATAAATGCGAAAGTAACTCTGTCTGTCTGTCTGTCTGTCTAGCTTTCAAATTCACGCTACTATGTGGCATGAATACAAGGGATGAAAGTTATATTATGATTGACAGCGATCATTTTTATTTTATGTCATAACGATTCACCCGTCACATAAATATAATTATTAGTAGTGTACATAACAGGTTAATTAAAATATAGCCAAATTGCATGTGAATGGAAAAGATTGAATAATATTTTCAATTTCACAGCATTGCTTAATGCGGAATATATTTCTACCCAATTGTAAGGACGTTTACGATGAGATAAGTGTCTAAAAAGGATGTCTTGTTATGGACGTATTGTCACCTAAGTGAAACTTTTGATGATAATTTAGGTTTAAGTATATTATTGCGATGGACTGTATAATTTTTGAAAGAATTGCTAATTTTTAAGTCATGCCTGATTACAAAAATTTGTATCTATTAAAACGGCAGAAAGCCATGTCTGTTATTATTTGTTGTTATAGCGTCAACAGAAATACATAATACTGTGAAAATTTAAACCGTCTTACTATCCCGGTTCATGAGATACAGCTTGGTGACAGACGCACAGACAAACAAACAGTGGAATCTTAGTCTAGGACAATCTTTTCGTACTTTTTCTATATGTTTTGATTGCTTATTTGTTGTTATAGAGGCAACAGAAATACTTCATCTGTGAAAATTTCAACTGTCTAACTATCACGGTACAAGAGATACAGCCTGGTGACAGATAGACAGTGAGTCTTAGTAATACAGTCTCGTTCTACCCTTTGGGTGGGGAACCCTAAAAAGCGTTTAGAGATGAACTCGAAAGTGGAATAGTTAGAGCACTATTTCGTTGGACAAAACACTGGCAGCGTGTGGATCAATTAAGCGCCCACGGCACAGTAGCCGATTGTGTGGACGCGGACGAGCACACAAACCGACCCACGGTTTTGTACGTTTTGTGTTTCGCTGCGGGCACTTCGCGCCACACTGCGAGATTCTTCCGCCGTCCGTCGTATTTATTTATTGTGTGCGTCTCTTTTTTTTTCTCTACGAGAACGCTACTTTTTTAAAAAGCCACGAGGTGCAAGACGACCTGTGTTTGCTCCGGCCAGTACGGATCAGAGGTCCATGGGAGTTCGCGCGTTCTATTTCTTTTTTCAAATGGTTTATAGTTCCCTTCATGTTTTTTACTTTTTTTAGAATCATTCGAGTGGTTTAAGTTATTTAAAAACGCAATTTCAATAACATTTCAACTTTTTAAAAATACCGTGTCCGTGGTTTGAGTCATTTAAAAACGTCTAACGAATTCAATTTTAATAACATTCCAACTTTTTTTGTCTATTTGAAGATACCATGTCCACATGTGCGGTGAAAAACTAACCTAATTTAAATTTTTTGAGTCGCCTTTTTTATTAATTTTAAAGATACAGTTACATATTTAACCATTTCTGCCAACTAGTAAAATAATTCATTGAGATTAAGAACTTTTTTCTTAATAATTTTCTTTTCTATGTATTCGTCATCATATTGCTAATTAAACCTTAAATTATAATTATAAATTAAGTATTTTTATATATTTTCGCTATTGATTTGCCTAGCTATTGGCTTTGGCACCGCGGATCGTGGGTTGAGGGTTCGATTCCCACCCAGGACAATTTGTGTGGCCTACGATAATTTTTCCGGATCTCGGTGTACCAAGGAAGTTGACTTTAGGCAGGCGGCCTATCGATAAAACCAACCCATTACCAGTAGAACCGTACCATCAACATCAAAGAAGAAAAGCTCGCAGTTACACTCAGATGTCTAACAAAATCGGATCAACAATTTATTTGTACGGAACCAACCCGTCGGTGACGCGAGCGTTCTTGACACTATTCTCGCGGCAACCGCATCCGACTATTAAAAGACCATCGAGAATCATCGACTGCCTTTAGATTCCATTCTACATGACCTGTTCACAATCAACCAAGAGTCGCGAACGTGCTACAAAGGTGTCCATTATAGCGAATAACAGTCGCGAAATCGTTAAGTTATTTATTAACTATCAAGCGTCGATCACACCCTCGATAAAGGGAACGCGATCGTAAAATATTCTGTTGACGCACTACCTCACTACGCAGTTAAGTTCACAGCACGCTAATGTTTGCTGCTCGGGAAATGTTTCTTGTCTTGAAAACGTAGACCGAAGCTGAATATATGACGGCAATATCACGTCAACTAACGGGTGAAGGGGCTTATTCTCAATTCAAATGGTCAAGCTTTACAACACTCAATAATATTCAATCACTGAATAAAACACTCGTTCAGTAAGCAAACCAAGTTTTGTTTTATTCCATATTTGGTTTAATTTGTTCGTTTTTTTTTTAAGATACAACCCCGGCAGATAGAAAATGTTTATTTGTAAAAATTACAATTGCAGCCATCTATAATCTCTTTTTAAATACAATAAAAGGACTTGTAAAACAGTATACAAATCTAAAAACAGTGAAAGAAAGAGATATACACAGTTTAAATACTAACAAATATGGCAAATTACACATGTGAAACGTAATTATAGAAATATAATCATAATAGCAAACATGACAACTCATTATTATAAAAATAAATAAAAAAATTTGAGGCTTTAATTTTATGAAAAGTAATATAGAGTTATGTACTTCAAATTAAAAAATGTGTTCAAAATTGTTTTCCAACGTTCATTATTTCAGACCATACTTAAAAGAGTTCGAAACGTCGGAAATTTATAAATCAAGCTTAGACGCGATAAAATCCGTAAAATGCTTTCATTAAACCATATATGCAATTCGCGTAAAAGCAAGAAATCTATAGGCATCCTGAGAAGGTATCGGATCAAGTGTCCACTGTGTTTAGTTTTGTATCTAGCACTATCAGTAGCTGAGTTGAGAAATGTAAGTGTAACATAAGAAAGCCTAAAAGTCTAAGAGAAGACGAGTCAACTCTCATCTATAATTCATTCTTTATACAATCGACTTCCGGAAATCAACACAACGTGCGCAGTGGCGACATTTAGCAGCCTCACAATGGAGGTTCAATATATTCAAACCAATAGAGATAATAACGTTCTTAACGATACATTGATAACTACCACCGGTTACGATCGCTTTTGTATGCAATACAGTGACGCTACGTTCGCACATCAATTGTTTGTTCCAGACAGAGCAATAACTTTTTAATCATTTATATTAGGATTATTTAACGGATAATTTATGATTCATATAGATTTCTACACTGCTAGTAACAGGCGATCAATCGATCAGTTTTTAATTAGAACTATTATTATTTAGTTGATAATAATGAAATAACACGTCTGCTTATATAATTCATTTGTATCTTATGCATGAATATGTGATTTATTTAGTAACAAAAGGACCAATTCCTTCTTGTAGCACGTTTGACTGTCGCCGTGGCCGTGTGTCACTCGTGTTAACGAAATACAAATATTAGTCAGAGAGCGACACAAATTAAGACTAATGTCTAATGTAAAGCAAGGTTTAAGTTGAAACTAAGTGCTTGGACAAAGCGCCGCTTAGCAGATAGGCTTAGCTGATAGAAAAGCTGTGGATCCAATACTGTGGGCTTAAGTCGTTAATAGTACTTAAACCCCTGCATTGTGCTTAAACGGGTGTCATCACTCTAACCAAGGTAGTGATATTCGCACCTTTGTACTACTAACTAAATACTAAATGATTAGTTAATCAAGAATTATCTGAGTAGAAATAAATAAATGTGGGAGAAAACCTTGCATGATTATAGTAATACAAAGAGTGTATAAAGTATATATTTTTTGAAATATATGAAACAACCATTACGTAAATAGTTATAGTAAATCGTTTTTAAATGTCTATAACAGAAATAACTTCGAGTAAATGATTCGCCATCGTATAATTTTAGTGAAGCATTTTACAACCTCGGCCACCCATTCGCGGCGTTTTTAGTACGCATTGGTGTATTAAAGTGACTTAAAGGCTGCCCATATGTCGTACGAAGGTTGAATCAGGTAGAGAAGGTCTCGTGAAATGTGTCGACTTAGTGCAACTTTTGTACGCGACGTGCGAAGAGTCGGCCGCGCAAGGTGGACTATTAGTTCCACCGTTTTTGTGCATTTCTATTTTTTGATAAAATCCAACGACGGATGTCGATGCGGCAATGTTTGCCCTAGCCTTTATTTGATACGATTCCAAAACACACATTTCGGAAATATCAAAGAAGTATACGATTGAGTTAAGCTGGTACAATGTTACACACAACGCATGCAAACATTATGATAAAAAAATATTGACCAAAATGAACAATAAAAGCGACGCAGCTAGTGAGTCGGGGCTGGCGAATACGAAGCCGCACATATCAGAAATTATTTGAAACCGTTATATCGGATTCGGTTAGTGTTATTATAAAAAGCTTTTCCAATATCCAATTATTTTCATTACGGTTTGGGAGCTAAATGCTTTGCTTGTTACACGGATACTATTATAGTAAAATTTTATTTTTGTATGGCTAAGTTAATTTATACGCAGCCGATGCGAACGGGAAACCTAGGTAAGGACATAACTGAAATAACGGCTAGTTGGGACCTGAAAAAAGGTTAAAAAAAACTTAAAAAAGTAAAAAAAACTTACCTGAACCCGACTCTCAGTGAGGCCGATCCTCATCGCGATCTCTTCCCTCATGAAGATGTCAGGATAGTGGGTTTTGGAGAAACACCGCTCCAGTTCGTTTAGTTGTGCGGGTGTGAACCTGTATTAAAGCAGTCAAGTAAAGTAATACGTCATAGAACACACTTCATTTTCCTCCAGGGCCATTCAACAGCTTCTGCTGTTACAAGAATGGGCAGACACTTCTGGGGAAATACGGCCTCAGAGGATATCGGTGTGAAATGGAAGTATTACAACTTCGCGTTTTGTCTGGTGATGTGGTGAAGTAGCCAAGGACTCCTTTTTTAAAGATGGAAATGAATCTGCAACATTTTTTTATGTGAAAAGTTGTGCTAGCAAGCGAGCAGACGGTTCACCTAATTTTAAGTGAATACCGCCGCCCATAGAGGGTTGCAGATGCGTTGACAACCTTTTGAAAATTGCCCCCTTCAAGCAATCAACCCCTTAGGCCACCTCACTCACCAGACGAAACGCGAGAGTATTATATTAGTATATATAAAGGACCGTAACATTTCAGGTACTAACGATATCCATAATAAACACCTTACTAAATAAATCAATAAATAATGTTTATTTAAAGTTTTCACCATATATTTTTACACAGCGTTTTCTGCTCCCAATGTCAGCAAAGTATACTGTGGATACTAGGTAGCTGATAAACGTACTTAAAAATACTCGGTGTAAACACACTAGAAAAACTACAGAGCAGATAAACAGTCATCACACATTATTTTTTTTAGCAATCGAACCCACACCCTATGGTGCAAGAGAAGTGATCAACTATCCACTGCGTTAATCATGACTTCATTATTTATTGCTAATTTCTATTTCATACCTCGTGCGGTGCCTTTTTTGCTTGGCAGGCTTGTCGCTATCGGAAGCAGAGGAAGACATGCTGACTGGCACTGTAGCCATATGTCCACCACTGTGCTGTTGCTGATGGATTCCACCTGGCAACAAAGAAATGAGCCCAAGTTCAAAGCGTTGAATTGTTAAAATTATTCTCATATTATTTATTCACATCAAAATGAAAATATATTTAGAGATAATAATAAAGAAATATATAAGAGTTGGATTTTACATTTAAATGGTGACAATATAAGAATCAAAGCTTTTGAGAGGTCAATTATTTTTTATGATATTAAATTAAAGTTTCCCACCATCAATATTACGACTGGCCGCCTGCCTGACGTCAACTCCCCTTGGGAAGCAAACACCCAAACCGATTTGGGAACAATTGTACCGGAACAGTTAACTCTAGGTCACAGAAATACTTGTCTCGTGGGAGAATCGAACCCACGAGCGATGACGCCGAGGCCAATAACTTATCAAAGGCGCTACCGACTCGTCTATCAGAAGTGCAGTGTTATTATACCTTGCACACTGTGTCGTCTTCCAGAAGTGCAGTGGTATTATACCTTGCACACCGAGTCGTCTACCAGAAGTGCAGTGTCATTATACCTTGCACACCGAGTCGTCTACCCGAAGTGCAGTGTTATTATACCTTGCAGACCTAGTCGTCTACTAGAAGTGCAGTGTTATTATACCATGCAGGTGGTCGGTCCGTATGTGCGCCAGGTGTAGACGCGCCCCCAGCGCATGGTGTGGACGGTCGACGCTCGGCTTCAGCTCCAGCTGTTTGCTGTCCTCAGAGCACGACTCCTTGTGACCTGGGTAACGGATGACAGGGATCTGAGTAAGTCTTTCATGGTAGAGCCACACTGCAGCGTCTGCTATGCGAATAAGCAGGTTTGATATGCAAGCACCACGGACACAATAGAAGCACTTATAATTTGGCGTTTTTAGGGTTCCGTACCCAAAGGGTCAAACGGAACCCTATTTTTTAGTAAGACAGCGCTATCTGTCTGTCGGTCCGTCTGTCACCAGGCTGCATGTCACAGATTAACTAGTTGAAATTTTCAGAGATGATGTAATTGCTTTTGCCACTATAACAACAAATACTAAAAAACATAATAAAGAAATATATAAGTGGGGCTCCCATACAACATACATGATTTTTTTGCCGTTTTTATAGATAATGGTACGGAAACATTCGTACACAAGTCCGACTCATACTTAGCTGGTTTTCTTTTGGTGGGTGTGTTAGCTGGCCTATTTTCAACTGACTCCAAAAAAAAGCATTTTATATTGAGCTTGGAACACCTCCCATATGATTTCATATCAATTTCATTAGTACTTTTGACCTTTTACTTTTGGGGAGCATGAGGGACCCGTTAAAACCAAATAGAAAATTTATAGTGAGATGGTATAATTTTTTGTTGATAAAAACGTATTTGTCTTAATTGTTAGTTGCCCATTTGCAAATCTAGTTGAATTGTGAAGGTCAAGAACCATAATGTAAACGATTTATTTTATGTGTGAAGGTGACAAGCGAGCTGGGGGTTCATCTGATGTTAAGATAACCGCCTGCCATGGACGTTTACAACACCCGTGGGGTTGCAGATGGGTTGCCGACATTAATAAAGTGAGTTCGGTTACCACACTCGCCAGACGAAACGCAGAACGTATAACACTTCCACTTTACACCGGTCTTCTGTGAGCTCGTGGTACTTTCCCGGATGAACCTGCTCATTTATGCAACAGTGAGGTACTTGTTCATGTTTTAGTCCTTTTTTATTTGAACTACACACACGTAACATTGCATAAATAGTATGGTGCTCGTGGGCGGTGAATCGTTCCAAAGTCAACCTGTTTATTATGTACCAAACTTTTTCCATTTCAAAAACATATATAAACCTGACGAGCCATGATAGCTCAGTGAGCTTTAATAATACTCGAGCAACCTGAGTTCAGAGAAAAATTATAAACACAGGCTAAAATGTGTCTAATTAATACTTGCACAATCTTGATCATACATTAAATTCGTCCTATGATTAAAATTGTAGATATTTGTACTTTAGAAATCTCTATCTAACTCAATGGTAAAAAGGTCTTTATTTTTCGGTGAAGGAAAGTACTCATAACTTAGCCTTAAAAATCGCTTACAATAATTTACCTCTCTTGAGCAATTAAACCGTTATCATGTGGGTCCACGTTGTGAATAAAGAAAGTGTTTTGGACCATGGTTTGGAGCTGCTTCAAATCATCCCATTGAAAGGTTAAATAAAATTGTTTAGCAGAATTTTTACTGAACACAAGCGAACGCACGAATAAGAAGGAAAGTTGTGGTAAGTGTTATACTATTTGCAGATTCTAATCCAGCGTGTGGGTAAATGTTATTTTATTTTCAATTGGGTCGATAATGAAAACGCATTTCTTTTTAATCTTGCATTTAAATGTTGTAAAGTAATAGTATATATATATATTATCCAATGCTGGGCAAAGGCCTCCTCTGTACACAGATTACTAGGGCATAGTCCACACGATGAAGATTTGCAGACTTCACATATCATATTTTTTTTATGTGATCATAGAATCAATGTTTTCATTATTTCTAAAATATGCAGGTTCACTTACGATTTTTTCCTTCACCGGTCAGTATGTAATAAGACAGCACTCAAAATTGTATTTAATGTCACCGGATTGATCTCAGGTTTGTCGAGTGTATTGAAGTACAAGCGAACGCCCGGATACTGAGCTATTGGGTTTGGAAAAGTTGACTGAATAGAATCTCAGTAGTTTCATTCGTTCCGTACAATGAAGACACAACACAAGCTTTTACTATCGGGGAAGCAGATTTTGTTTACCTAATTTAGTATTGTAATCTATAATTTTTAGGCTAACGCATCATAACTGCAAACAAACATCCCAACAAATCAAAACATGATCTCTATCGATATATCATCATTTATTTAATTTGAGAAAGACGTCTAGATGTCGTCTACTTGCTCATTTAAACACTTTGTAACGCTTATGCGTAGAATACTCTTCTTCATTTAACTGCCCTTATCCCACCAAGATAGGGTCCATGCGATTCATAATGGTATTGGCTGGATTTTTCGTGACCTGCTTGTAAACGGTCCTAGGGAATAAAGAGCCAGATCTTCTGTCGTTCAAAAACTTGGCTCGGTTGGGAAACGAACCCACGAGCTTCGGCGCCGAATCCAATAGCCTAGTAGCCACCGAGTCATCACATAGATAGGCAACCGTACTACCTAAAAAGTATGGCTACCAAAAATAAAAAAAAACTCAACGGCACATTTAAGAAACAGAAGCCGCTTAAGGAGCTTAGAGAGAATTGACAAACTTTGATCCGTCTACCTCGCGACAATCTCTTTTATAGCAGTTCCTCCTCTCTATATTCATTAACTCCGATGTCGCGAAAACTTTCCCGGCACCAAGCATTCTATTAAGAATTAACAATGTGTTTGTTACTACACTATGGCGACAGATGGTATTTCGATCAAAATATAAGTTACTTCATACCTTAACGTATCAATCAAAACAAAGAACAAATAAAAGAACCGGTCAAGTGCGAGTGGCACCCGCGCCTGAATGGTTCCGTACCATTATTTCTAAACGGTAAGAAAATCGTGTCTGTTGAATGGGAGCCCCGCTTAAATATTTTTTATTCGTTTTTTTTAGTATTTAGCGGCAATGAAAATACATTATCTGTGAAAATTTCGACTGTCTTACTATCACGGTTCATGAGATACAGCCTGGCGACAGACGGACAGACAGACAGATAGATAGATAGAAAGACAGACAGAGAGGCAGACAGACAGCGGAGTCTTAGTAATAGGGCCCCGTTTCGCCCTTTGGGTATGGAACCCTAAAAATTTATGTCTGTGCAAGATAGAAAATATATTTTGTTAAACTTCGTCGGTGTGGCAATCAGCCGTTTAGCTCAGTGGCTGGACGCTCTAGCCACTGAGCTAAACGGCTGATAGCCACAGCGACGAAAATCTTAACGCCTTCTTTCTACATTGTCATTTTATGGTTGCGCCAAGCATTGCTTCAAATGTGTATATAAATTATAGCCTATGTCTTATTCTGATTTAGGTATAAGCTATATTATTGTAAAGCTTCATTAAAACACATTCAGTAGTATTTGCGTGAAAGAGTAACAAACACCCATCCATACATACAAACTTTATATACAAATATAAATAAATTGGTATGAACGAAGCGCGTCTGTGTTAACCCGGACAGGAAACCTCACCCCTAAGCTCAACAGGATTACCCTGGCTCATAAACTGACTTTAATGGAATCGAATCCCGTAAAACAGAACCGGCGTCATCAACTTCACTGCCGGTAGGGTGCTGTTAAAGTTACACCTCGCATAGTTCGATAGTTACCTTTATCGAGATCCCATTACTTTCGAAAGGATGAAGGAAATTTATTTTTATGTTTATGAAGGAAATTGAAAGATTGGAAGGAAAATGAAAATACCTTCTCATACAGGATGTAAGAGAAGACATTAATGAGATTGAATTTGTAATCTGTGTATATGTGTGGAATTTACTTAATTTTGTAACTGTGGTAGGGCGACGCAACAGCTTCGGCTGTTGCACGAATGGGCTGGTCCGTTCGGGTAAGTACCACGACCACACGGAAGACCGGCGTGAAGTGGAAGTGTGGTGAGTGAGGTAGCCGGGGCCCAATTTATTAAAAGGTGGCAACGCATCTGCGACTCTACGGGTATTGCTAATGTCGGGCGGCGATTATCACTTAAAATAGGTTAGGTTAGGTTACATATACAGCCAGCTTGCTTGCCACCTTCTCCCATAAAAAAATTAAAAACGTGATATATTTTGTAATTAGTAAATGTTTTGTAAGAGCCGTGATAACTCAGTGTCCGGGCGCTCGCCTTTAATTCAATATACTGGAGCAACCTGAGTTCGGTCCCGGTGCCGGCACCAATGAAATTTTTAACTTTAAGTGCTGACTTATCACGTGCTCCGCGGTGAAGTGAACAACAAAACACATCACAACAGTGAAAACATCGTGAGTAAACCTGCATATTTTCGAAATAATAAGAAAGAAATATATATTTCGAAGATATGTGAAGTCCGCCAATTGCTCACTCGTGGGACATTTATAGGCTGTTTACTTCTAATATTCTGTGGCAGTGAACCTAAGCTGTGTCATAAAAGTTTTATAAATGGTGTCAAACATAAAGTCATGACAATCTTAAGCTTTGTAACCGATTAGGAACTTTGAAAAGCTTTGAACTGAAAACATGTAAAAAAACACATATCTACGACAAACATAGCTACGAGTATTTACTAATATTCAATAAAGAAACAATAATACAGTAAGCAGATGAATTCTACAAATTCTAGGTAAAATCAGATAGAGAAGTTATTGAATTTGAATTGGAATAAACAAATTTAAAATACATGAAGTTTTTAGCATCTGATACTGAAATAACGAATTTCCGAAACCGATGCCTGTGTATAAGTAACTTAAGCAAAATATTTCGTGAAGATTTGTGTACTTTATTAAACACATATAAAATCTAATTTACAAAACTAAAGGTTATAAATATAATTTACAAAACTAAAGATTTTACACATTATTTTGTGGTTTATTTAATCAACTAGCGACCCGGCCCGGATTCGCACGGGTGCAATATATCATACATATAAACCTTCCTCTTGAATCACTTTATCTAGTAAAAAAAACGCATCGAGATCCGTTGCGTAGTTTTAAAGATCTAAGCATACATAGGGACAGACAGACACCGGGACGACTTTGTTTCATACTATGTAGTGATACACCATTAGCTGTATTTATTGCTGGCGTTATTATTCATTACATGACTTGGTGGCGCAGCTAAGCCATTGCCTTCGACAACAGGGGTCGCGGGAGCGATTCCCGTGTAGGTCTAATGGTCGTGGTCCAGCCATTCAAAAAATAAGATAGCCCATATAACAACATAATTCACATGTTTTGCCAAACCCGCCTAGATGGGATAAGAGAAAGAAATACAATAAAAAACTAAAAAAACCCGTTAAATGTATTTTGATATACCCATTGTCATTCTCCCAATAAATACGAATCTAACAAGACCTCTCAAGCTAAAGTCCATCAAGCCGTTCAGGCTGCAAAGCGTGCCAAATATATATACAAACATACTTACACACATACTCTTGAAAAACATAGCCCTCCTTCTGGCGCAGTCGGGTAAAAACAAGAGTTACTACTTGACAAAGAACACACCAGTGTAAGGTGAATTTTAAGGCAGATGGCAAACGATAACTGCCTACGGTGGACTTAAATTGAGTGGAAACTGGACTTTAGCAACAGAGTCTTCTGTGACCCTACCACAGTAGAAATTCCGAAAAATATTTTTTTTTTATTATTTCGAAAATATGCAGGTTTCCTCACGATGTTTTCCTTCACCGCGGATAAGTCAGCACTTAAAGTAGATTGGTGCCGGCACCGGGGATCAGTTGCTATAAAGAGCCGATAAGCTATCACGGCTCTTCAGTCAGTATAGAGTCAGTATAGAGCCGATAAATGTATGCTACATGGTGCATACACTGGATTTTATTAGCGAGTGTTGGTAAAATTAACAATTAATCACAAAATAAAATAAAAATCACTCTACATCTCAAAGGAAATAGATGCATGATTTGAACATATTCTTTCAGCCCGTGAAAATATCCATAACAGTAACTGGAATGAATGATCTAATTTAATTTTTTGCTGTTTTCTATAGATATTTATCGAATTTGGAGTGTAATTAAATTGTATTTTAATAAAACTGATCAAATTAACTCATTAACATGTTCCCGTGACCACGAGTGCTGTAAAGCAATCGGAACTACCTGCATTTAAAATTAATTTATCCGCGAAAAAGTCCTTCAATCACATTATCCGTGCAAGTAAGTTTTACGTTCAAACTTTGCTTTAAATTATCCAATTTTCGAAGAAAGTTCTCTCTTAATTTCTGTACCTAATATTAATATGTCATGATAAAGAGTACATTACGGACATGCCCTTTTATTACTTAAAAATATTTTTAAACGATAAAGAAACGCAACATAAATCGGAACTATGAAGTAAAACTAACCTGTTACAGCTACTTTTCACAGATAAAAATAATTAAAACTTGTCAGTTTCTCTTAGAAAATTATAACATTACCGTGCTATTAGCGGTAGTCGTTTTTCATATACAAATATTTTTTATCAGTAGAAACATAATCGCGACAATTATTACCAAGTCAAAATAATCAATATTAATATTTTGAGAGAAAAAAACATATTGCAAATAGTAACGACATCCTGCTTTGGATTTCCTTAATATACAAAAATATTCATTCGTTTGGAATTAATAAATGTTGGACCTAATTTATATTATAAAACAAAGTCGTCCCGCTGTCTCTCTGTCCCTATGTATGCTTAGATCTTTGAAAGTACGCAACGGATGTTGATGCGGTTTTTTTTACTAGATAAAGTCATTCAAGAGGAAGGTTTACATGTATAATATAATTGCACCCGTGCGAAGCCGGGGTGGGTCGCTAGTTAATTAATAAATAATAATGTTTCAAGTATCCTATATCATTGTGTTCTCCGACAAATTAAAACATATTTGCATAAAATAAATGTTGCACGCAACGTACTGGCGAATTTTCTTAGTCGTACTATCAAGTTTTAACTATTTTTTTCCGCCAATACCTAGTAGGCGTGGCCGGTATTTTTCTGATGGTTCACCTATCGTAATACCTGATTTTTTTATCATTGAAAAATGTTTTTCGGTGAAAAAAGTATGTGTCCCTATTCTAGACTAGATATTACTCAGAGTTTTACTAATGACTCATCTATACCAAAGAAATTTATTTGAAACATGGTGACCCACATGCTCGTTTGCCTCCAATTCCCATAAAAAAAGAAACTAGAAATTATTGAAAATGAAATGAATTACTAATTCAAATTCAATTTTCAACTTTTTAATTTTTACTGTTAACTTCTGTACTTAATATTTCAAGTATTTTTAAATGATTTCAAAAATTATGTTTTATTGAAACTTATAAACTCCATTTATCTCTACTTAAAATGAACTATGTTAGATAACTAGTTTAATTGGTAGTGAATTCGATAGGAATGAATACTACTTTTATTTTATTGTGAATGAAGTCTAAGTACCTAAATAAATATATGAAATATATTTTATAAACCCGATGACTAGAATGTTTTTTTGAATTTTTTTTTTAATTACCTAATTTTAAGATTAAAAACTAAGATTACGTTCTTTCATATTCGATGGAAATTATGCGTATCCTATTGAAAGATTACTCACCTCCTAAGGCTGTGGCGGTTAGGTTATTGAGCATGGCCTCAAAAGGCCAACCTTGGCCACCCCCTATATCGCCATCTTCATCGACACTCGGGCACAAATCATTTGTAACAGGTAACACTTGAAATCCTCGTAATTACAAAAAACACTCCTCTCACTTTAGTCTGTTCTCGCCTTATTAAATCCGATACACAGAACCAAAGGGCATCGCGGAGAAATTCAAATTTGGAACACAACGCCGCCGAAAAAAAGTAGAGTCACGCGTGACGCCAAAAAGGACAGAATCCGAGCGAAAACCCGCCTTAATACAAAATAATTAACGCTGTATTACACTCAATTAGTTTTAATTACGACTACGGTTCAAACTTATTTACACACTTAATTTTTGTTATAAAATTAATATAACCCGTTTAGTATCAATTTGTATAAATTTGCAGTTTGATTGGTTCGCCCTTAGAATGATCGTTTAATGTGGAAACCGACCGGCGGGCGACTGCTACAAAAACAGACAGCACGAGCACAATGTGGCCCGCGCCCGTTTCAATGCGAAACGAGAAAACTCTATCTATCCCACTTCAATGCACGCAAGAGCCGCGCCGACGATTCGTAGACCGCACGCTGCCATCAGTAATGGACGCTTACATTTTGTTTACTGAAGATTCGAACAAACGAATAATCTATTATTTCATTCGTTCACGTATTATTGATACGGGCCCACGGGCTCATGCAATATTCAGACGCCGACACAACTATGTACTTCTCTTTCTAACTAAGCCGTTTGCATACCGCTAGCCGTGTCGCCATCTCGCTCCTTCGCAACTTTTGAATATCGAACGCATTCGGGCGGACCAATGGGAGCGCGCCGAATTCACTTGAAGCGCTCCCGGGCCCCGCTGTGATATTGAAATATTATGGCTGTATGTAACGCAGGGCGTTCCTCTTCTTTGTATTAAAAAAAGAACAAATACACGCGCTCTATAGCTGCGTTCAAAGTAAATAAGTGTGCTTGAAGGTGGCCGTTGGAAATATTCCAGATTCGCCGTTTTGAGTGCTATTTCTTGTAGAGAATCGCTTAATTTTCGGACTCTTTTGAATAAGGAATGCGGGAACTGGGAGCTGACGTATCGGGAGCGACGTCTTTGTATTCTCCCTTCCCTTTTATTAAATTTCGCTGGGAATTCAATCGTTGATAGTTTTGTAAAAACTTTAAAACGTCATCTTCATATCGAGTTCGCTTCCCTGTGTTTATAAACCTAATTCCTTTTAAATTATTACTACGAAGAGTATCAAAAGACGTATCATAAATAATAAATCCTTAATGATCCTAATATGTTTAGCATGGTGTGAAATATCGGTTTGCCAAAGTAATGATTTTATTTATTTTAATATCGTTGATATTATTTGACGTTAATTAAATAGATTATACACGACAAAATTTATAAAACTTTGCTCAACCTTATTTATTAATTTGTAGTACCTATGGATAACTAATACGATCTTTTAATGATGATAATGATTATTAATTTATTTTAATCTTTGAAATTTATATGTTCCTCTACCTTACCTGTTAAGCGGGTACAGCAGGTAGAACTATTGCTAGTTAGAACTACCATCAGTGCGTTTTTGTATATTAATTTTTTATATAAAAAATATTCTGGAATTTATTACTATTAACAATAATAATATCACACGAATAAATTTCATTAAAAAGTGTGACTACTAAATTTAGATTTTTTTTATTTGCCTAAAATGTTACAATCAAAATAACTATGCACATCAATACTGCAAGGCCTCCAGATACTACATGCTCTTTTTTCGTAGATCGGAATAAAATAATTAACAGTTGCCTGAGTTAACTCTTGCATTAGAACGTAAAACAACTGAGTCTGCCCCGTAACGAGTAATAATAATAAATAATAAATGATTTATTTAACTGCAAGTAAAATGCTTGAAACGTCGGGAATTTAAAGTCAAAACAAATCGCGAAATTCACCCTTAAACAGTTTAATTTAATCGTTACGCATTTACGACAAATTGTTTTTTTTTTTTTTTTGCCATCATCCTTTCACAAAACAATTTTCCAGTTCCGTTACTTTAGATTTTATGTTCTGTTGTTATAGCACAGTGTCCGGGCGCGAAAAAAAAATAAATTATACTCAAAGGATCTAAGTCAAAATATTTATGTAAGTAAAAATATATTAATATAAATGCTAGTTTACTATACACTCGCCAGTGTATCAGAATATCGTGATGTTACCTGTATATCTGAGAAATAGTGAAAAAACAATTGAAGCTCGTCATACCACAGTTAGATCAGTGTCGCAGTATTCCGTAACCCCGTCTGTATACAGGGGCTCTTTTCCCAGCAGTGGGAAATAAATAGAGGCAGCTGACACCAGCCGTAGCTAATTTAGCATAAAAAAGGCTGCAAAAAGATCTCATTTCGAATGCAGGATACCATGTTATGTAACGCTCAACGTCCAGTTACTCGCTTTTAATTCAATATGTTCGAGCAAACCAATGTTCAGAAACACCAATTAAATGATTAATTGCAATTTTAAGTGTTGACTTATTACGTGCTTAGCGTTGAAGGAGAACATTATTAGGAAACCTGCATATTTTCGAAATAGTAAAAAAAATACTTCTATAATATGTAAATTCTAATCAGTTGTGAGGTCTTGTGGTGGACTTCATCATAATATTATCCGCTCACAGTACTATGTGTTAAATCGTGCCTCACACAATCAATCTGTTGAGACAGCTGTCACTGCTCTCAAACGACCTGGCCGTCGATAAATTTTTTCCCTTTTTTTAAAGCCAAAACGGTATTGTTATTATGACATCATGTTTTGACGTATTTAACGCCGTATTATATTTAACAAATGGGACAACTATCAGTGGCTTGTGTGACCCACTGATAGTTATTTCAAATCTGGGTGTTTGTCCGCGTCAAATTAATGTTTGTAAAATTTTCACGCGGTCATATCCATAGGCTTGGATTAACAAACAGGATAATGTTTTCTACTAAATTGAACCGGTTGTTTTAAAAACTCCATCGGGCAAAATGTTTAAAAAAACTATTATTATGACATCATGTTTTGACGTATTTAACGCCGTATTATATTTAACAAATGGGACAATTTCGCATCTGGGTGTTTGTCCGCGTCAAATTTATGTTTGTGTCTGTATGTATGTAAGCGTGCCGTCGGAAAAATTAGTGGATCTTCTCAGCCATGCTGTTACTTGTTACGGACACAACCGCAAGTAGGTCCTATTATGTGTTAAAAAAAAGCCTACGCCAAAGATTTACTTTGATTATGTCAAATATACTTGTATCTTAGAAGTACGCTAAAAGGGCAGGTACGGAAAATATATCATATATCATATATCAGAATGTTACGTTACCGTGTAATATGTAAACCATAAATCTGTATTATTAAATGGAGCCATTTTCCTGATTTTAATCGTTTAATTATTGTCAACTGTTTGAGATTTCCCAGCGTTCGTGTGAACGCGAGGAATTTAGTAGTGCTCTTAATGAAAGTGAAATCGGGGAACGGACCGCTAGAAGCGTAGTACATAACAACAGAGCGATGGCGAATTCAATTTTGCGACATGGCAACACGACTAGAACAGCCGCTGCACCAATTACGGGGCCCTTCAGGCCCCTGGCAACCCCCCACCGCTCCCGACGGGAGGAATTTAATTTTAACATCCGCCGAAACCCGTCGCCGTGTACTCCCGTAGAGAAGAAAGACGTATTTGAGTTTTGCGCAGACGTATTCTGTACAGATACTGACTCGTAATCATTTGTTGAGTCTGTTAGATGCAATTACTTTTAAATATAAGTTGGAATTGCCGATGTTTCGAACACTTAACAGCATAGATCGTCACGTAAGAATTTTTTTATCAGCCGACTTCCAAAAGGAGGTTCGGAATTTGACTGCAATTATTTTGTTACCTCAGAACTTTAGACTAAGTGCACGGATTTTGATGATTCTATTTTTATTCGAAAGCCGGTGCTTCCCATGTGGTTCCGTATTAATTTCACTGGTTCTTGGCCTCCGGAGACCCTTAGGGAACTCCTGAAAGTCAATTATGAAACGAATAGAGAGTAAGAAATTTGAAGTGGTTTTGTTTTTCGAAAAAAAAAATGGACTTGTTACTGAAGAATAGGGCAAATGTGGATCCTTATTCGATTTGCCTTAATCGTAATCACCACATTAGCAACACTAGAGAAGACAAAACATTGCCGCCGTTTTATGTTTAATATAAAATAGTAACAGGCATCACTATAGATTAAAAATAAAATAAAGGTGTTTGGGGTGAATATAAGAAGTATTCGAGATTTATTTGATTGTTATTGCAAACAATCTTATAAAAGTACTTACTTCAAAGGAGTTGGTGTCTTCTAGTCTTTCAGGCAATCTGAGGTGCGAAGTGTTTAGGTTGGGTGTATGTCTTTTTTCTTAATTACCAGAAACGCGTTATAACGTCATTCAAAGCAGTTTTAAAACAGTCTTATGAATTAACTCGTTTCGTCGTCATATGATTTTACCTTCCTTTTCCTTCTTGAGAGGCACTAGGACCCGCGTTAAAGTTTATTTGAAACTTTCTCTTCAAATATCAAAATTTGTGCATTTCACAAACAATCTTAGAAGCATTTTATTTAAAATCATTTCTAATAAAGATTTTTTGTTTATTACATTTAAACATTGATACAAGCATGAAGTAAAATAACCGTAATTAGTTTTATAACTAAGTAACAGATATAAAAACGAACTTTGTAACTGAACTATAAAATTATATAAAAAACTATATATATAAAAACATAAAAAAATATTAGAGCTAAAAGGTAAGAATAAAAGATTAACAATAGCTGAGGAAATATAACTCTCATTACTGAAGATAGAGCTAGTACGCGGTACGCGGTTGTAAACGTAAGTGATATTTATGAAATAAAAACATACAGTGATAAACTTAATAGATTTTCACTTTGAACAAATTTGACGATAACGGTGGTAGGGCCTCGCAGCG